TAGGGGAGAATCTGTTCTTCGGGCTACTCTGTTTGGGCCTCAAGGTAAAGTATGTGTTGCCACTTTAGGAGAAGTTTCCTTTGTGGGGAGTTTTCTCAGTTAGGCTGTAGTGGCACATCCTTTTTAGGTTGTGTCAATTTTTTTCTTTTGCTAGTGTTGTGGGGACTGGTTAGTGTCAGTTGTCTTTGGACAGCTGTCTCGGGAGTACGTCCGTGGGATTTTGTGGGGTCGCCTGCTTGCAGGTTGCTCTTCATGCCCATTGGTTTAAGGTGCATAAGGACCCGCCGGAAGCCACATGAAGACTAGGGGTAAATTTTAGTTAGCTTTGGTTAGGCAGTTAGTGAGAAAACTCTGACAGGAAAGTTTGAGCCTGTTTTCTCCAGAGTGGTCAGCACTACATTATCTTGGACCCTTTAGACTGGTAATGTCTTTGATGCCAGTTTTTAATGAAGGTTTATGTCCACCTGTCTTTAGTAGTTCCAACATACTACTCCTGTCATCCCTTTTGCTTGGAACAGCTTAGTGGAGACCACATTTCCAGTTACCCACTGGGCCTGATGGAAATGGTAACTCTCCTGCTGTGATGTACCTCGCACTGGAATCCAGATGGAGACCTTTGGTCAGATATGTCAACATTAATAAAATATCCGACTGTCACTCAACATCTGAGCGGCATACCTGTGTTTATCGATCTCGGCAGCTTTGTAAAATGGAATTTCAATTAATCTGATGGTCGCTGGGACCCTTGACCAGGTGAAAATGTTTCATAACTCTCTCCACTCTGTCTAGTGGCTCTGTGGGCAGTGGTATTTTGGTCCTGCAGTGCTCCCGGATATGTTGCTTGGTTGGATTGGGTGGCACAATACCACAGGATACATGGGCCTCCTTGAGCTTCTTCAGATCCTCCTGATCCACCACAGAGAAAGCAGCAGAGAGGAGCTGGCAGAAAGTGCTGAGAAGAAGGTGATGTTCCATTGTGCACTCCCTTGAAAAGCTCTGCAAACAGTGGAACAAGTCCAGCTTCACTACAGTGTTGGGATTATAGCACGACCTTGAGGTACAAGTATTAGTCAGGGGTCCT